TGGCCTGCTGTGTTCATCCAGCCCTGCACCTTGTTGTCTCGGATTCTCCAGCATCTGCAGTTCCTACTATCTCTGATTCAAATATAAATGCAAAATTTATTTTTTATTAAACAATCCACACATTTGAAGATATTGTCCGTAAATAATAAAGACCTGGTGACAACAGTTCGTTAAGACAAAATACATCAAAAGCACGCTTTCAAGGACTGGCTTTAAAGTGTACCAAAGTTCTTCACAGAATAAAATCAGACAAAAATTGACACCCTGGTAAACAAGGAGATATTAGTATGGGGTGATTAAAGTTTTGTTTACAGGGATAGATTTTAAGGAGGTCTTTGAGGGTGGAGAAAGTTGGAAAGGCAGAAACTAGAGCAACGCCATCTTCTCGAATGAAGGAACAGATTTGAGGGTCTGCATGACTTAACCTCTTTCCATTGCTCCAGAAAGGTTTAGGAAGGGAATTCCAGAGCTCAGAGCCTAGGCAGCTGGCGGTATGGCTGCCAAAAGTGTCCAAATAGAGTTGTGGGTGTGTATAAGATGGTGGCTTGGGAGTCAAAGTATCAGACAAAATGTATACAAAAGAAGGGAGGTTTGTAGTAGCTGTGGAAATACACTATGCTGTGCAATTATAGAGTGAACCTTGAGTAATTATAGAGATGATTAAGTAAAATAGATGCTGTAATCCTGTAGTTACTGTATGTGCTAAATATAGATGCTGCTGTAGATAACATTGTAAATAAACGCTGACTAGATGAACCATCTATGTACAGGGAATGAAAATGGAGGTGGGGACTGCAATAGGCAGACAGAAAATTAGCAGTTCATAATCCTAATTGATGAGAGATGGTATTGAAGTGGCTAGACTCCCTTGTTCATCTCTGGACTGTGAGAGAATTCCATCCTAAACTGCACTGAACGCCTCTTTGACTATTTGGGTCTGAAGTAAAATTTGTTAGTATACTCTGTATTCACCTCTTGACCCATGTCCCACCACATCACAAAACTACTGATAATCTCCAAGTCAATAAGTTAAAATTTAGAACTTTGGAAAAGTCTTTACATTCCACACCTATTGTTATATAATCAAGCATAGTTACCTTAATTGAGAATTCCAATAATGGGCCAAGACACTTATTGTAGAACATTAACAATGCTGGATGGAGTACTGTATCAGACAAGTTGTTTCAGAGAGATGGTATAGTTGGTGGTCATGATAAGCATGGATTACTGAATGTAGGAAGAAGAAAAGACCAAGGAAGTAAAGAGTTGCCACAGTTTTAAGGAACTAAAAATAAGGAATTAGCGCAGGAAACCACACAGCAACTCTTGATTTTACTAGATTGGGAATGTGAGAAGGAGAGAGGATTACTAAAAGCTCAAAGGACCAAGTGAGTAATGGCTACCACAGCATAACAATAAAAGTTGTTTGAATGTTTTCATGTGAGAATTGAGTAAGATTATTTTAAAATTGTGTAACTTAATGCGAGCGTAATGATAATTAAAAGTAAGGACTGGATTTTGTAGGGATCTGAGAAATGTGGACTGTGGTGAGATGTGTGGCAGAATCAGATGGAAGTCCGACATAGCTCATCACAACTTTGGAAGCAACTGGCACTATCTTTTGTAACTTTCATTTGTGGCAGGTTTCTCTGAGACAGCAGCGTATTTTCTGTTAAGGGGTATTATTACTCATTAGCTGCCTTATCACTGGCCTCATTAATTATCAACTTTCTATCTTACCAAACAAGCTATCGTCATAAAATCTCAACATTCAACCCAGAGCATATACCTGGTGGGTTCAACTCAGTGCTTGCTCCAAATTACGTCCACGTTGCCTGCAACCAAACTGCAGTCTAGGTCGTAACCCATGAACATCAGCTACACGCACCCCTCGTCCATGGATTTTGGCATCCTGCAACTGCCAACCCCTCAGGACCATCATAGTGCCTCTCTGATAACTGGCATTGTACCCTGGAAGCAAGACTGTGGGGCTTACTGCAATGAAAGGCTGCAGCAGGGTGACTTTGTGCACATGGACAGCTCACAGGTTGGAACAGGCTGCATCTCAGGGCTTACTCTCTTAGCATTTGCTCACTTGGTGCCTACCTGCAGGTTCATACACCCATCCCTGCTTTATCTTGCCATTCCAATGAGTGCAGTCACACAGCCTGGCAGCTTGCTTTGCTGATCAGCAGTCCCCAGTCTAGTGGTGGACTCTTGCTGTGTGACAGTGTACTACGTTATTTCGCACCTACACCAGGTGTGAGTAGCTTATGAAGCAAACATACAGCGTATACTATAAGCAGTCAGACATATCTCGGTGTCTTACAGGAGTAATCCTCACAGAGGTCCAAAGAGACACCCAACAGTCAGTGATTTCAATCACAGTTAAATCAAGGGCAGCCTCCGATACCAGCCCAAGGGATTGACCACGGTCAGGTGTCCACCCAGGGTGATCTCAGTCAGAGGCTCCACGCCTGCTCGGTCTGAGGAGTTGGTCACGGTCACTCCTGTGGATCTGTAGCAGCTAGCCCAAGGTCAGAGCTAATGCAGACATGAAGATGTACAGTCAACAGTCAGGGAATGGTTTCTTCTCATCTGGCGCCGCCCAGTCAAGTCGCTCAAGGAAGTGGGCCACAGTCAATCTGTCGGGTCCATCCACAGAAACAAAGGTGGGGAGGGGGCAAAGGGGCAAGAGCGAAAGAGACCTGGCAAGGGTATTTGTCACAGAACTGGGGAATGCAGGCTCTGGAGAAGGCAGGATTACATTTGTGAAGGAGTGGCAACAGTACCTGCAAGGGGATGATATGATAAAGCAGGGCTGGGAAAGGGGTAATGCGGAGGGCGGCAGGGTCATCCAGGGTCAAAAGCACCCTGGCTTTGGGGTTGTGAAGGGTGTGAATGACCATAAATGGCATGGTCACCTCTTATCCCAGGGGCTAGGGGCTGAAGTGGGCGGGTGTAGACAAATGTAGACAGGTTGTGTGGGAACGTGGGGAAGTGTGAAGCCTGTGGAGTTTATGGAATGGGCTATTAGGCAGGGGATGTGGATGTCTGCAGCCTCACTGACACACAGAGGTGGAAGCTACAAGCCACTGGCTGAAGAATGCCCACTGTTGCCTTCTGTCATGCTGGAAATTGGAAGTGTGCAATGGGCAAGAAAATGGCTGGCACCACACTTGGACTGGGCAGTGTACATGACTTGACCTGTGAGGGAGGACTCTGCAGCACCAACCAGTGTTCCCTCGAATTATCTCACCGGCTGTCTAGGAGGTAACTTTCAAAAACAGAAATCAATGCCATGACCAGCATGTTGACACTGATTACAGAACATTGGAGCAGCCGCCCAGCTTACAGCCAACGTTGGCATCAAATGAGATAGGACTCTTATCGGAAAAGAACATGGCACACAGAACCATGCACTGTATAAATCACAGAACTGCAGGATCCCCATTCCCTTATTGTCCTAATACATTGCCCTCCTTTTTGTCTTGCAACCCCCTGCCACAGACACTGCTGGACAATTCATTCACACTTAACAAATTTTGACATAGAGGCTGTGAAAGAATAGAGATGTTGCATGAAGAGGATCAAGGGTGTCAGTATGACCCAATACCATGTAAACACTTTGTTTCTCTTGATTCTGGATGATGCACTAAGCTCTCAGCAGAGACCTCCAGCCATGGAACCACGTGAGCTGCAAGCCCCAGAACACTGCGTGGGCTGTGAGCCCTGGAGCAGAGCAGGCAATGAGCCAGTACAGCACAAGGAATGAGCTGGTACAGCGCAAGGTATGAACCAGTACAGCACATGGGCTGTAAGCTCTGGAACACCACGCGGGGAATCCCAAGTCCCGGAGCAGCACAAAGTGAAGCAAATCCTGGTAAAGCATGACTTACCTTGTTGCTGCTGAGTGCCAGTGTGGAGCGGACTGGGGGCTGGTGTGATGTGGGACAGTTGTTCAACTTTGGCTTGGCACCACATGCTGAGCTGCTGCTGTTTGGTACTCTTACCGGACTGTAATGTAAATCCTTACTTTTCAATCCTCTTTTGTATAACAACATCCTTTTTTTAACTCTGTAAGATTTGTACCATTAAAAGGCAGCCATTGTAAAAACGTTTCACTGTACTTCTGTACTGGAGTACGTTTGAGAATGAAGGATGTTTCATTCTATTCTATTCACCTGTGGCCATGAAGTGATGTCAAATGGTGTAACAATGCCATTCAGCCCCAGATAGAAAGACTAACAAACGGAAGGACTGTTGAAATATATTTTGCAAGCCATTGTCACCCATTATCCCAAAGTGCCTTCAACATATTTATTTCCTCCTCTCCCTCCTACTCCATCTTACTATACTCCCTGGTTCCACAGCTGGACTGGAGGGAACCTGCTCAGCAATGGAGCTCACTGACTGTTGAGGCTTGGTCAGGCCACCATGGGGCACTTGTGTTTGGATGGCTCTGACATGTGGAGGGTCTACCTGTCAGATGGAAATCATTCCTCTTGGCATGAGCTTGCAAGTGTCAGAGGGAGTCAGGCAGGGTGGAGGTGGAGGGCCCAGCCATCTCCAGAGTACCTCGAGAGGTGAATTCTGTGGGGCTTGTGTGTGGTTTCTCCTCTAGCTGGGTGCTTCCCGGCAGCGCCCTGTCTCCTTGAAGACGGGGCATCTGGAATGTACGCCATGTTTCCTGTCCTGGTCCTGAGGGCTAATGGCTAGGTGATGGACTGTATATGGGGTGCCCCTCTCCAGCACACTCTGAGGGTGCTGGGCCTGGCTCTTCATGGCAGTACCACCCTGTCCATGGAGACAGGCAGCTGGCTACATGACTCGCTGTACTGCTGCAGCTTCTGGGCAATGAAGGGAATTGGCTCCCACATCCCTGTTTGCTGCTCCTGCCCTCCCTGTGCATGTCAGCAAAGTCCCTTATTCCCAACCCCACAGGCATCTCACCCACTCGCGGGCTGAGCAGGTGCCTGGTCTCCAGCAGGCCTCTGAGTATCCTCATCCTGGGACTTGCTGGCTGTACCTGCAAGAAACAAGCGAGAGAAAATGCTGCAGTCAGTGATTGGAAGTCATGTACAAGGAATGATGTTGACAGTGGAGTTAATATGAGGCCTGTATCAGAATGAGAAGTGGTACTCACTCAGTATTTGAGACATGGATGGGCCAGGGTTCTCTCCTTGTAGGGATAAGGAGCCTAATGTCAGCCCCCACCTCCAACCCCACCCCATATGGACTCACCCTGCCCAGTTATTGGCTGTCTTCTCCAATGTTGAGAGAAAGCAAAGGATTGAGTGAGATCAAAGTGGGTGGCACAGATGTTACTGCTGGTGCAGGTGGGGAAAGAATGTGAGGGTTTCTGAAGGCGTGTGAAGGCAGCACAGACAGCCAGTTAGGGGTGGTAAGAGCTTGTGTTGGGAAGGTGGTGTTGAGAGCAAGTATAGGACAATAGTGAGAGTAGCAAAGCATGTGTCATTTTGGGAGGCTGGCGTAGTAGACAGAGTTTCTTTTTATTTTTTTTCCTTTATTTATTAATGGGTTGAGGACGTCGCTGGCTAGGCAGCAGTTATTGTCCATCCCTAATTGCCCAGAGAGCAGTTCAGAGTCAGCAACATTGCTGTGGTCTGGAGTCACATGTAGGCCAGACCAGGTAAGGATGGCCGTTTCCTTCCCATTAGTGATTAGTGACATTAGTGAACCAGGTGAGTTTTTTCCGGCAATTGGCAATGGATTCATGGTCATCATTAGATGATTAATTCCAGTTATTTTATTGAATTCAAATTCCTGCCATAGCAGGATTCGAACCCGGGTGCCCAGAATGTTATCCAGGTCTCTGGATTAATAGTCCATCGATAACACCACTAGGTCATTGCCTATTGAGTGTGAGATAGCTGAGAGAAGATTGTGGCAATTCCCTGGTGCAGGTCATTGACCTTTTTTCAACTCTGTTGGCTGTTCCTACTCACTTTGGAGATGGCATTTACCTCAGCTCAGGCTGCCAGGCACTGATGGCATGGCCTCCTCTGCTGGTCCTCTAGGAAAAGGACTTCTGTCTCTTGTGTGACCCAGTCCACCAGTATCTCCAGGTCCTATCGGAGAATTGAGCCATCTCCTATTCTTTTATGTAGAGATGCTGCCCTTTTCTGAGCTTCAGAATGACGGTGTTTGGCCAGAGGCACAGTGGTCTTTTAAAGATGGCACAGAAGCAAGAGATGCTGGTCTTTCGGCAGATATCTGCTGAGTGGGGAGTTGTTCGAGGAATGGCACATGGCAAGATAGAGCCAGAATCAGATGCCACAGTGGGTGTGGGAGGTTATTAATGAGGTGAGTCTGGTAAGTTATGGCAAGAAACCTTGCTAGGCCTCAGGGAGAAGAATCCTCCAAAAAAACTTGATACAATTTGGAATTAGCCAAAGAAATGTAAGATTCAGCAGAATCTAGCACTTATATGCAATACTCAGAACTCTCTTAAAGCATTTCATGTGTAATAATTATACTGAAGTTCAGTGATTCTTACAAGCAGACAAATGCAACATAGAAAATTATTATAAATTGTGGGATGGGATCGCTTACATTTATTCAATTTGGTAAACAGACCTCAGTTTAACATCTGATGTGAAAAATAGCACCTTTAGCAGTTCAGCTTTTCTTCAATATGGCACTGAATTGTCAGATTCAATTTTGTGTGTATATGTCAAAGTGAACTTAAAACCACAACTAGTTCCTTTTTCAAAAATTGTTTTTCTGCGTGATGTGTGCATCACTGAGAAGCCCAGCATTTATTGCTCATCCCTTATTGCTCCTTAACAATGTAATGATGAACTAGCTCCCTGATACACTGCAGTGTATGTGGTAACTGTTCTGAATGGTTGTTTCAGAATGAAATTATGGTTTCAGGTCTGGAGTGACATGTAGGCCAGACCACATTAGAATGGCAGATTTCCTTCCCTAAAGGTCATCAATAAACCAAATTGGTTTTTACAACAATTAATGAATGTTGTCATGGTGCCCAGTACTGAGACTAGTTTTCAATTCCAGATTTATTAAATGAACTTTAAATAACATCAGATGCCATGACAGGATGTGAACCCCAATCCCCAGAGCACGAAGCTACAATCCTGAATGACGTCACCACTACACTATCATTACAATGGATATAGAATGTGCAAAATTTTCAATGACAATATCAGAACAGAGAGAATACAATTATCAGGAATTACTGAACAAGCTGGGGATACTTTCTCTAGGAAAGGGAAGGCTGATCAAAGCCTTAAAATTACGATGGACATAGAAAATAAGTTTCCACTTGAGGGGCATTAATAAAAGATAGCCCCTAAGAAATCCCATAAGAAATTTAGAAGTAACTTCTGAAATTAGAGAGAGTGGTAAGAGTGTGGAACTCACTGCCATATGAAATAGTTGCGACAAATAGCATAGATGGATTTAAAAGGAAACTTGATAAAGACACGAAGGAGAAAGGGACAGATGGGGTACATTGACAGGGTAAATTAAGAAAGATGGGAGGAGCCTTGTCTGCACTATGAACACTGCCTGAAACCAATTGGTCCAAGTGCCAATTTCTGTGTTAGACTATTCTGCATAAATCTATCTCAGAAGCAAGCTACCACCATGAATGCTAGCACTGACAGATAGGGGGCACAAAGAAAAATTCAGAAAGCTTCAGGCAAATATCATCAACGGTGGGTGTTTATGGAATAGCTGTTTCAAGACCAAAAAGTCACCAGTTAAAGCTTCTTTAAATATGCATTTCATAACTTCAATGGAAATACTCACAAAGGTGAGATCACCATTATCTTACCAAACTATAGAGCAGCTTCCTCATTAGTTTAACCTGAGGGTCCCCATGCCTCAGGCGAGGTAGAGAAGGAGAATGCTTCATGGTAACTTTAGTTGATGCAGGAATTGACCTTATGTTGTTGGTGTCACTCTGCATTGCAAACCTACTGTCCCACCAACATTGAAATGATGAGGTTACTAATGACCAATTTACTGTAACCAGTCACAGTTTTTTTTCTGAGAGTTGTACAATTTCAGGACAAGCATACCAAGCCATACAGTTTTTTTCTTTCAAAGTCCAAAATTAAACCCTACTTGGATAAAATAAAAAATAAGTAGACTTTGGTTGTGAACTTTTATGTTGATCTGTACTGTCCTTTACCTATGTTTGCCAACAAAGAACAGTGAAGATTATACATCATCTGCATTGTGCAAGCTTCCTTGTCCTGAAATCTAGTTTTCTCATTAGGTCTAACACACCATTCCAGTTTA